GAACAATTTTAGTTAAATTGTTCTTTTATTTGGATATAAATATGTTGGCAAAGTCAAAAGGCGCAGAAATACACTTATATATAAATAGAAAGAATTTCACTAAAGCATTTAAAAATCTAGCCAGATACAAATTTGAAAGTAATTTTGTTAGACCATCAAAATAATTACGCTAAAAAATAGAATACTTAGTTAATTATTAGAATATCAAAACTCTTTGCAGTATTATCATCATGCTTAATTGTTTTATTTAATTATTTTAATGATCCAACAAATATTGTTTTCAGGTCTTTATTTTGTTAAATTTTTAGATATGTCAACAAAACTGTTTTTTTTTTACATATGATTTTCTGCGTTTTTCATATACATATGTTTAATAAAATTATTTTCAATTGGCTTTGATTTTGATACTTTAAAATTCTTTTCGTTTATAATGTATAAATGTATTCCTGCACTTTTTGATTTTGCCAACATATCTATATTCAAACAGAAAAACAACTTAACTAGCTAAATTGTTCAACAACTCTGGTAATCAGTTCTATTGATGGTAGTTAAGGATGATTGCATGATATATTACTATGATTTTACGTATCCGAACCCCTCATAAATCATTATATTCCAAATTGCAATTTGCAATAACGTGGGACTTAAGATATAGGCAGTAACATATAAAGATAGATAAAATATATTAAAAAAATGAAGACTACAATATTTCTCATATCCGACAAATAAGAATTTTTATATATAAATATTGGAATTAAAAGATTAAGATCTCAACATTTTAATGATAACCGATTATAGGATAACATGATTTTGATTGAGATGACATGTTTTGAATGAGTTCTCCTATCTCATATATCAAGTATTTGTCTGATATCTGAGATATATTATATCAGAAGATTGAATCCAATTGTTCAAATTTGTCAAGTAATACAAAGTGGATGATAAGCATAACTTTATTCCTGAGTAATAAATGAAATTAATTACAAACTTATAACAATTAAATATAATTTTTAAATATTATAATTTAAATAATTTTTAAATAATTGTTGAAAAAAGAAGTAGAGTTAAATTTTTGGAAATTACCGATATCAAAACATTTATCGATTTCGAATGTTTATTATTTACAGGTAAGAAATAAAACGGAAAGTAAGCATTTTTCTAATATTCTTAAAAATTTCTTAAAAATTCGAGCTTTCTACTTCTTTTTCTTAAGAATTATTTATTTAAGTATTTATTATAATAAATATCCTTTTTAGAATATACATTTCTCGTTTGTTGTTTATTTTTATTTATTAAAAGAATCCCAAACAAAATTTTCAAATATTTTATGATTTCTTTATATTTCTTTATTTAAATTATTTTACTTTAATCGAGATACAAGAATGTTTATCATTAAATGTTTATTGTTAACTAAGTAAGTTTTATCAAAACAATTAATAAATTAATGAAATTAATAAGTTTTAATTTTAGAGCATTTCTATTTGCTACAAAAGATTTGGCAGTTTTGGAACACATCATACTAGGTTATTTTAAAATTAGCGTTACAGCTCCTCTAAGATCGTAACAAAAACATCTTCAAAAATAAATAATCCTTTTTTTTGACTGTGTGCTATTTAAAATTTCGGATAAGATAAGAACGAAAGATATAAATAGCACTCTTTCCTAAACATATTGAGAATATCAAAGATAAATCAGATCAAGAATTACATTGAGAGAGTTAATACACTAATCTTACTGTATTTTCAATAATATTCACTACTTTTCCGCTATTCGCGGTCGCACAGAGAGATTTAAAATTCGCGGGACGTTAAAGCAGCTGGAGCCGGGATGAATTTATCGATTTTGTTACGGTCCACGCAGCATCCGCGGTAGAGCGGCATGCTCCCGGATAGGTTCTCGTCGCCCATATGTGTGTTATACAAATCTGAGAATGAGGAACGAAAACTAGGTATAAATACCATATAAATACCATTTAGCAGCTGTCGGAACGAGGCCCGCGCACTCAACACACGGTGGTACTTGTTAACCAGCATTTCCGTCCGAGATGAAGGAAGGAGAGAGAGAGAGAGCACGTATTACAAGGGCTACCTCTCAGCAGCGTCGTCTCTGCCGAAGGGATGGAGCCGTACTGACCGCGTTGATATGCGCTGATAGCATTCACCCAGTAAAAAGAGTCGAGAGCTTCGTGAGGGCGCGAGTTGCTCGAGTAGTCGTTCCTGCTTGGAGAGACAGAGAGAGAGAGAGAGAGAGAGAGAGAGAGGAGGGAGGGGAGGGGAGGAGGAGGAGGAGGAGGAGGAGGAGAGAGAGAGAGAGAGAGAGAGAGAGAGAGAGAGAGAGAGAGAGAGAGAGAGAGAGAGAGAGGAGAGAGAGAGAGAGAGAGAGAGAGAGAGAGAGAGAGAGAGAGAGAGTATGAGAGAGTAGAGTAGAGAGAGTAGAGTAGTAGTAGTAGTAGTAGTAGTAGAGAAGAGAGAGTAGAGAGAAGAGAGAGAGAGAGAGAGAACTCTTGTGTATCCTCGTAAGGATTAGATAATTAATTTACTTGAGAACGTCGGATACCAAAAATATCACTACTTTAATTCAATGCGGAAAGCATTTTTTTCTGAGACGTACGAATATTTGACAGCGCGTGTAAGATAGCAAAGGCAAAAAAAAAAATCGATCTCTCTTCGCGATGATCTGACTGCGAAAGTAGCAGTTGCTGATTAATGCAAGATATCAAATTGTCCTTGCTTACACAACTGTCCGTCCATATATCCGTCTTATCGAGTTAGCGAATAGCGTTGCGCTTCGTGTCGGGAATAGTACTGCACTTCCAACGGTTCCACGTGGCGTGAAAGTGAAAGTACAAATTCGGGCTTTTCCCTCATTGGTTGCACCACTTAAACGCGTAACAAGTCTGCCCGGAAAAAAGTCCCCCTTCGGACCCTACGTTTCTCTCGTCTCGTTCTTTGTACGTACACCAATACGCTCGTATACGAGTCATTTGCGATGCTAACTTATGCCGCATAACTAATTTGTAATTTCATGCTAATTAGGATGTTAATTAGGTCGGTATACATAATTAATTGAGATAATCGAAATTCTATTATATCGTATGTATATATATATGTATATTATGCGCGAGAGTCATCAAATTTCGGCGACGATCGATCGTTATTACTTTGACCGCCCGTGTTAAACGATATACAAGTGTCAATATAGATATATGTATCTATGGGCACGTGCTTTCGGTATATACACCGCCGAAAGTATTTGCTCTGTGCTTGACCCCATTACGAAAAGGCGGAAGGCAAATAACCACAGTTACGATAGCTCTTGTCTCGAGGCGAGGAGCGTAAAGAAACCGATGACCGATGACGGGTTTCGGACGAAAGCGATGAATTACCCCCCCCCCCCTCCCTTTCCCCCCTCTCCCGTCATTCGTCCGTCGTCTCACTTGACAGGTAATGCCGTATTTTTCTCGAGGCTGACGTCGGAGCGCGAATGACGCGTCGAGCCCCCCGGTCGGGGAGGGTTTTCGAGCGAATGCCGATCGGGTGGACCGATCGAGGAGGATTTTCCAGCTTCCAGCCTCTGATCATCCCCACTATGTGTGGCCGGGGCCCACATCCGACTTACCTGGAAACCACGCCTCGAGTCCTGTGCCCACGATTGGTGGTGGTCGCGTTTTTCGGCAGCTCGGGCCCGCGCGCGACCAACGCACATTGTCACTCGCGTGAACGCACTCGAGTGAGTCCGTGCGATCGTGCGACGACTTGTCGTCTTCCCGGGTGAACAATCTACAACCTACAACCTGCGAGAGAGCTCCCTCGAGACGCCGAGACGACCGCGTCGAGAGACGACCCATCGATTTTCACCTGCCTAACAGCCCGATTGCCAGGCCGAGCACGTGCACTCGGGTGAGTATGGCTTCGCGATACTAATTACACTTCACGTTGTTGTCATTCGCAACTTTGTTAATGTACCACGAGGCGCGGAAGCCGGCGAAAATAGGATCTCGTGATCCGATCCGAAAGCACACCTAATTGGGCAAGTCTGAGTCAACGTCGATCACCTTAGAGACTGACTCGTACAGGGGCTCCTTCTTTTTAGGGGGTTTTTATACGAAAATTAACATTCGATTATTAGTGTTGGTTCTTTCGTATGTATTTCCTCTTGATCGATCGAAACAGCTCGCGACACGAAATTTCATCTTTAAACTCGAGATATATAATCTCTGGCCTTTAGATGAATTTGTCACATTCCCGCGACCTTGGTTTGCCGTGGAAACGAGAGGAGTCCTTTTTTCCTTTCTCTCACTTATCTTTCACTATGTCGCCGGTATTCCAAAACCGGTGTAATCCGGCAAACTTGATTTCAATGATTTCGCGGTCAGCTCGCGATCAATCCTTGCGCTCGATCGACCGATTATTCTTTGTTTTAATTACCGTGTGATGATGATAACGCGATTTAACTATTTGACGAAATATTATATTCTCAAGCGATCATTATCAATATTTTTTATTATCTAAAAATATTTTTCACATTCGCGAGCTACCGAGAAATCTCAGATTCCCATTTCCAATCCTTGCATTAGCGATAGAGTTTAGAGATATACTTCAGAGAAATAATAATTTTACAAGTATTATATAATTTATATATATATTATATGTCACGAGTTTATTAAGTAAAGTAAATTACATTCGCGAGCGATCCGTAATTTATGGCCGCAACTTTCGAATCGCGCTCGATCGACCCAATATGCGAAGAGAATACGAAGGAGGATTCGAATGCCGATAACTTACTTGCGCGTACTTATGCGGCTTGCTCACTTATCTTTACATTTTTCTGTTCTGTTCGCTTGACATGTTTATGAATCTAGATAATAAGAATCCAGTCAATAAAAATGTCGCTAGATCCTGCCGGGACACAAGTTTGGTAACGGTTGGTCTTATACAGTTAGAACAGTTATAATTCGGGATATGAAGGAAGGTAAATTTTTGCCACGATCCTATAAATCCTCACGATTTAACGGAAGGAGGTGGTTCCATAAATTTGGGAGGGAATTAATCGTAAAACAACGTTCACTCAAGGTAACGTAAGATTATAGCAATAAACTGGACGTGAATCGTACCTTTCCGGTCATTCGCTTCGCGAAGGAATCCGATATTTCGGCCTGTGTTTATTCCCAAAAGTCAGAGCTCCACTCATCTCGCATTTTACGACCGCGATTAGTATCGCCTCTTCTAAAGTCGATTCTCGTGGGAGGAATTTTGATGTTAAAAAAATCGTAGGACGGCAAGAAGAGAAACATTGTCAGGAACTAGTCAGCTTTTGCGTTTATAAGCCCGAGATTTATGCTTCCGACCGTCGTCCCGCTACGCCGTTTTAAATTCCGTTATGTTACACACCTTCGACTTATCTCGATGCGAAGATTTTTTTTATGTCCCTTCGAGGGAATCCGCTTTTACTCTCCTTCGTTTATCACTGCGATTTGATAGTTGATACCACATATACACACGCGCACACATACACAGCCGCTCTCGGCGAAGGTTAACCGGGTCTGTTTTACATTCGACGAATCTTTCGTTTTATTTGGACCATGGAACGAATGCGTTTGATTGTGGCTCCACGAATCTGATTACGGAGCCACTTTCACAGCCGATTTAGCTACTCAATTAACTACGGTGGCTTTGTTACACGTTGATGGACGTCGAGAGGACGATAAACAATAAAATCTATGCATATGTAACAAGCCAAGTATCACAGTAATCGCAGTAATTAATATTAATTTTATCAGCATTATTATTACTATGTGTTTTTCTGAATTTATTTACACGGTTGATGGCACTGTTATGTTATCGCATTGAAATATCCTGTCGAATCTATTACCGTTATCTCCATTATCAAATCAAAGCAACTGTCGTGAATTACAAAGCTGCCTCATCGGAATTCAGCCTGCGATCAGCAGCTGATTGAGATCGCGGATTCTAAATGATTCGCTCATTAGAGCCCGATCTAATAGAGGCCGTCACTTAAGATCGTCACTGTGTGTATCTCGTTAAGTGTCAACCAGCTGTCAATGACACGCGTAAATGTCACGCGAATTCCACTTCCATTCGGTATGCTAATCGACGCGTTCAATACTCGATCAGTAACGGCGTTGAATTTTTACGAGTAGTCGGACGAACAATTGGATATCGAGGCACATTTTAGGGTCAATGTTATTTTGATTTCAAGCGAGAGATACTTAAATATATCTCTGTCTTTATTTATTTAGAAAGAACGATCGAGAAAGAATAAAGGTGCACATTTAAGTCTCGGTTAAAGACAAAGTAAACGTTTGGTAGTAAACCGGGCCTTAGAGATCGGCATCGAAAAACTTTTCCTGCGACTGCTGAAAGAACACTCCTTGGGGACGATCCTTGGCGCCGATCCTAATCCTGCATTACGTGTATCGCTTAATAATACGTGACATAAGTATCAACGACGATACTCGCCATTATTGTCGTAATGACACCATTGGCACAATACACGTTGCCACACTTTCTTACGCAAGATTCGGCTTCTACCAGCTGATTCAAGGACATCCCCCGCGATCTTATTCCATTGTAATCTCGTCCCCCATTATTCGAAAGCGGAACTCGTTGTTATAGCTCGATCAAAGTTTTATACGCGATGTCTAGTTCAAGTCCGGGATAAGTTCTTAGTGTCCCTTTAGATGCCTCTGAAAAACTCCTCTCGGAAATTGAATGCGAGATGAATGCAAAACAAGAGAGAGAGAGAGAGAGAAAGAGAGAGAGAGAGAGAGAGAGAGAGAGAGAGAGTATT